TTTCAAGGCTACAGTGCATATGGACATCGCTCACTGAAACAATACGTTCGGAGCGAACCTTGCTTCTAGCTTCTTGGAATCAGAAGGATCAACACTTCTCTATGCTTCCGTATCATTTCACATGCAGCTCCTCTAGCAGCAGTCTTACTATCACACTCTGTCTCTCCAGAAATAGGACAGATCTCTGTCCTGCTCCCCGATTCCTGTTTGCATTAACTGGATTACAAAGAGCATCTAAACATCAGTATTTTAAGTAGAATTGGTGCCACTGCTGTAGTAATACTGACAACTTTCCACACTTTTGGAAAAACCTTTGTTATGTGAGCCTTCAACATTTGCACTTAGACATGACTGCTTGCAATGTACCGCACTTTATCAACAGCTTTTCAGTGCTATATCAAAACGCCTATTAAATACACAACCACGTTTTGATATTTGAAACAAGGTATTAAAATAGCATCTCTACCATTAGACTCTACTTGATGCCTCCTGATCACCTCCCTCAGCCCTGTAAGACGTTCCAAAGGTGACTGTTTCCTAGGCAGAGCAGTGGTTAGTTTACTTGTTACAGACTTTGCTGCACAGTACACTTAATCACAGAATTACTTCTGTCTTGAGAGGAACCACACTAGGACTGCAAAGTACTATTTTCAAACACATTCAAGTTAAGGAGATACTTTTAAGAGTCTAATGAAAGTAAGCTCCTTGTCCTTAAAAACCTAAAGAGGAATTACTACTTCTGCTTAACTGAATTTCTGTAATTAATTTAAAGATTAGCTGCACTTACCTGGAACTTTCAAGGGGACAGAAAGGTCGATCTGGACCACAGGTATATGTTCCACACCGGGAGTGTCTTGGTATCGCTGGGAAAATGAAAAGTTATTACATTGTGAGCATTGCCAGGTAAAAATCTACAAGAATAGACACATTTCAAAACATCAAACAGTTTAATCCTTTAAGTGCACATTTTAAAGAATAGGAATGGAACAATCCTATGCGGTAGCAGGGTGTACTTTATAGGCAGCTGATAACTGTTATAAAAGACCCTACTTCTAGCTACAGTTTTTTAACCATGCTACTGCCCTGAAGGTGGCTTGTGGCAACTCTCTGAAGACTTTTTGGGTTGTGTTGTATTACCAGTAACTTGTCTCTTCAGAAGATAAATTTCGAGATTTGAGTTAAGGAAAACGGGGCAGTCCTTAGCACACACAGGGAATAAAGCAGGTTCCTTCCCTGAAAACAGTGTTAAGAGGAGACCACAACGACTATTTGATCCACAAAACACGCTGCATGTTCAAGATTCACTCTCTCTTCACCGCTCTTAATGCAGTGCCTGGCAATCTGAACCCTTCCACCACCCAGAGCTGGGACAAACTACCTGCACAGGAACTTGTGACGCAGGAGCACAGAGAAGTGTTTCTCTACAGCTTTTAGAGAGTCCTTGCGGAAATACAATCACTGCACTTCCCACGATAAATTAATCCAGATTGTTCCACACTACTCTGTAACAGGAGCTGTGACAGTTACCACTTTCTTATTTCTAAACTGGAGGTCCACCAGAGATTCACTGGCTGCTCTTGTGATATTAGGTCATTTACGAGTTTCTCAACACAAACAAGACTTACAAATACAGTTGTAGGTAGCCACTCCAATCGGCACTCTACTAGTGGTCAGAACTGCAGTGGAAATAATCAGGACGTCCCAGAGGGAAGCTGCAGCTCTGACATTCAGCGAGCCTTCACACAATTATACGAGATGCCAGCAAGAGATTTTAATTCAGACTCACCTTCTGCGGGGAAGGAGAGCTTTTAATATAAAATGGGTTGTTTGCCTGTTCTTGTTTCCGGGCTTCTCGACGCTGAAAGCAAAAGAGTATTTGTAGTTAGAATGCTTATTTGTAAGCAAAGAGAGATAAAAGGCAATCTCCCTGAATTTCTGTAACAACGCATAATTGCTTGCAAAAAGACTACAGCACAGTAGCTTATGATAAACCAGTTTTGAGTTAGAAGACATACTAGAATATAACTACAAGCACTGTTACTATTATAACTAATATTCCTTAGAACATCCGTTTTTTGCTTTTTAATTCTGGACTAGAGAGAGTAACTTCTGCAGACCAGATTTTGACGGCAATTCAAATGTTTCTATTTGCATTTTTGCAAAGAGAGGAAGAAGTGAAGATTCTTATCAATACAAAGTTTTCTCTGTGAAAACAAAAAGCAAGATTATAATAGTCACATTATGGTAATTCATAGAAGCTGCTAACATCCATGAGAAGTACACCAATGGAGAGGGTGTGTAAAAACTCAAACAGCTGCAGAGCTCAGCACAAGGGTCCATCCTCCAGACCTTGTACGTCGAAGTGAACTGCACTAGACATCACATTTTACAGGTCAGATTTCCACAAGAGCTCAAAATTCACAAAGGCCAAGTTTTTACAGTATCTTGCTTCCATTTCGACAAGATAGGCAAGGCAGAATTTCAAGAGAATTTTCTATCACGTGTATTCCACAATGCCTAAAAAAATACCTGCATTCAAATACATAGACTTTGTTTATATCAAACCATCACATCTCCTGAGCTGTAGAGAACAGAACGGCTCCCTGGTTACACAGAGAATCCACAATAGCTCAAACTGCTTTAGTAGCACTTAGATTACTACTGAATTATATAAGGAAAAGCATTTTAACATTCACTCACTCTGGCCAGTTCCTCTTCATCTATTTCCGGCTGTCTATGTCTGGAATGCCTTTGTTCCTCATCATGAAAAATAGTTTTGGGCTTTTCATCTTCAGACTCACTGTCTGACGGAGGTTCATTGATCCACGCATCAAGGTCCAAGCTGATAAGAATTGCAGTAAATAAACAACAGCTTTACTCAGTACCCCCAAGTATTTCAGTGTTTCTCATCATACACTTAGCTTTACTATTTAGGAGTTTAAAAGTTTATATAAAAAGGCTTTGAGAGAGACAGAAGAGAGCTTACCCCTCTGGAACTGGGACCTTCTTCTGTGCTTTAGGAGCCACAGGGTTCAGCTCACCAGCAAACAGGGCTGTTACTTCCTCAGCTACAGGTACTTCTTTTATCTGTAGCTTCTGAATATATTTTATTAGTTGTAAGATGCAAGAAGCCTAAAAACAAATGCAGAAGTAATTTCAGAATTAATGTTAACAAACTGAACCAAAAAAATCAACTGCAGTGAAAGTCAAAGATAACTGCTCTACTCCACGAAGGGAATTAAGAGAAGCAGCGTAAACTGCAGGTTCAGAGCAAATGTAAAAAAATCCACATTAACCCTCTCTTCTAGCTGTGTCCTTAAGTGCTCACATAATTTTAAAATTAAATTGTTTTGAGTGTAATTCTTGCAAGCAGTCTTCAGAGATGGTATTGAACTGGAGCAAGATCTGGGCTCTGACATGAAATGTCACCACTCTTCCCACTCCAGTTCTAGAGCTTCTCTTTCACCAGTTACACGAAGTACAGAAGCAGCACACCGCTCCGTTGATAACAACGGCTCACAAAATGTGCATGTCCCCAGAAAATTACGTATATGCTTAAAGACAAATTGGGACAACAAAATGAGACACTTTGTATGATAAATTCCAAAGCAATTTTGTTCTCTTACTCTCTCCTGAACTTCTAGATCTGCGCTCTGCACAAACTGAGGCAAACGATCGATCATCAGCTGTGTAATTTCCTGAGCTGCTTCCTTTTCCCCAGACTGCTCCTTCTGCTGCAGGATGGATGCATAGAGCTTCACCATGTTCTGGACATAAACCGCCTGGATGTGGCCTGGTAGAGTTGTAACTTTAGGCCTCAACATTGCTTCTAAAGTTTGGTTTGCTTCCTCGAGGTGTCTATGAAGACAGAGTGGACAGATGAGAGACAGCAACCAAGAAATTTCAACATTTCATCAGTCTTCACGGAGAAGAATTTTTCAGAAACCTCTGCTGCAGTACAAGCGCTGCAGAAAGGCAGCCAGACTGCAAATGCATCATTATTTGCTCTGTATATTTTCCCCTTCCAAACTACAGTAGTAATGGTAGCACAGAAGAATTTACAGCTTTATCCTTTTACAGAAGGGGAGGGACATCTCAGTTTCCACCTTTACAAGTTCAGTATTCTCTCCATTAACTAAGCATTGCACTTTTAAGTGACAACCCCAGTGACAGTCTGGATTGAGCAGCCCAGCCACCTTCCTGCCATTCTGTTCCTCACCACTTGCATCAACGAGCTTGTATTCCCAACCATTTACTGAACAAAAATACAATCTAGTAGGCAATGCTTAACACACAGAAAAGACTGCAGATCATAGCACTTGTTTTAATAAATCTCACGCTCTTATTCAAAATTGTCTGCCCACAACTAACTGGAAGATGCACAAAAAAAGCTGCTGGTCCATTACAAATGGAAAGTTAAAGTTCTTTCAGAAATGTGATCAAAGTGAAAAAGGAGAGCACATTCCCTTGCTTCTTAATCTACAGTGTTCTTTGTAGAACTTTTTTAATCAGATGAAGATCTGAGCCATATCAGTGTTCCCTAGAAACATCACACCATGTGAATTCAAACTGGAATCAGTGTTCAGAGTGGCAATTACAAGAAGAGACACCAAAACCAGATGATAAAAGGAGACTACAGTATCATGGTCTGTCCAACTTACAAAAACGAACGCTAGGTAAGCACGTGTATATGCACACACTTACCAAGAAACAAAAATGTCTTTTAAGCTAAAAGACAATGTTGGCACAAGGATGTTGAAAATTGTGCTATTGTGGGTACAAGTAAGTTTTGAGCTAGCCTAAGATGCATGTCAATCCTCAGAAAGATTAGGTTCTGCAAAAACCTTTCAACAAGGGCAAAACAGGGAAGGGAGCAAAAACCAACTCAAACGTGTTGAGTGTACATTTTCCATATGATGGAAGTGGGGTTAGACCTTTACGATTAAGGATTTTCTTCAATGTCTTAAGATCTTGCTGCTTACACCCACAACTATAACTTCCTGCATGAGTGGGCATGACAATAGAGATAAGAAAAAAAGGCCAGATGTTCAAAATGAAGTATCTGTCTTGCCTAGAAACAGCCGTGGAGTCTTATGGGGTGAGGGAGCAGGACAGAAGCAACCATTTTCCTAGCTGTAGGGTGCACATTCTGAACTATGCTTCCAAAAAAATATTTTTCAGTGACTTGACTCTTTGTCTGAAAGAAGACATTCAAATCACGTCAGGCTTTCTGTTTGCACTTACTCAGAGAACTCCCCACATATCCAAGCAGCAGCATAAAGCACCTCACAGATCCCATTTCTCTGGGTGTTGCTGGCTATGAGATGAGCATTGTCCAGAAGCATGGCCATTTGAGAAACTGCAAATTTACGAATAGCTTTAACTCTGATAGCTACATCTAACATCTGAGCTGCTATAAGATGCCCGTGCCGCGTGCCTTCCAACCGGGTCAACTCCACCAAGATGCTTATGTACCTACAAAAAGTGAAAGGGATGCAATTTATCAGCAGACAATCATACACTACCACTGTGGATGATCTTAAAGCTCACGTATAATAACACTGACCATTCAAAGTTTGTGATATATTGATAATTGGACTGACTACAAATATCTATGATTTTGGTCAGGAGCTCATCCCGGTACGTCGTCCCTTCTGCTTTATCCACGTGAATCATCAGTTTCTTCACTATCTCCATCAAGTTCTTCTTTGACACCTGTTAAAGAGTTATTGAAGGGTTCAACAAAAACTAAGCCATTTCTAATACTGTCGAGTCCTTCTAATTCCATTAAAGCAGCTGCTACCTCTTTGACCAACCTGTCACATGTTAACAAGCAATCAGAAGCACCTCTCTAGGCTCCAGCTTCAGTCACAATCGAAAAACAAACCTGTTTATTTCTTTTTAATGTTGTCATTAAAGCAGAGCCAGCACAAGTATACAAGATCATGCTGTGGGAGAGCTGAGAATAGGAATCACTAGCAGCAGTACAGAAATCCAGGAGAAAATGGAGGTTCTACTTCTGCCATGTAGCAAACTTAAAAGTTTAAAACATTTTTGCTTCAAAACTAAACAAATTTAGCAGTCATTAACTGCTAGCAGAAGCCTAGCATTTCAAAACACAGCTGTACTAACTTGCTCTAGAAACTTCTTTGCCTAAATAAAGTCACCAAAATATTCAGTAAATATCCCCAGTTGAGCAAAATGGTCTCCTAGGTTATCTTTTGACTGCATACGTAACAAGCAGAATTTAACCTCCAGAAATAAGAATGAACTCCACTTCCCTTTGCAACAACATTAAAACCACTGTCCTGGTATTCTCATCTCATGAGGAGTATCAGACAAAAGGTGTTGTTCTTACTTGTCGCTTTCCCCTCTAAAATAGGAAACTATGAGACTATCTATCATGATCCCCTTCTGTATACGGTGGGGGAGGGCAGACTCTTGAGTGAAAGTAACTTTACTATATAAATGACAACCACAGCCCTTTTGGAGATCAAATGTTGTCACTACAAGATTGCCCCTCTAGCCTACGCACGTTTATAAGCTGCCCTGCACAGCTGCAGGGTGCGTGCACAGAGCTGGTGACACACAGGAGTGAGATTCTGTACATGTCATTAAAATGCATAACAAAATTTACAACAAAGGCCAAATCTGACAATAAAGCAGCTTAAAGCTGCGTTTCACCTGTTGTTTCAGAGCGCTCCAGACTGTTTCCCAGACTGCGTAACTTATGTCAACCCAAGCTCTGGTGTGCTGCAACATGCACTGCAACCTAGAACAGCACAGACCTATCCCAATCAGCCCACAGTCCATGCTAAAACCAGACTAAGGACGGAAGGAGCAGCTAAGGCTTAGGCATTAGGAAAGCAGCCTTCTGGGCGACCTCCACAGCACCTCAACTCAGAGACTCCCTCCAATCTGAATCAAAAGTTTTTAAAGCCCTTTCATGCTGTGCCAGATCTTTTACTTGTCCTAAGTGCCAGAAAAGATAGATGAATTATTATCACAAGACTACTGGAGAGAGGGGAAGAGAAAGTTGCATGCTTTTCTTAAGCATCAGCCTCCTAACTAAAGGATCATGGAGGCCGGAGAGGAAAGAAAACACATGTAGAAACATACCATGCCATAGAGGAGGTCTAAAGCTCTCAGTCGGATAGACTCATCCTTGTCATCCAGACACTGGAGAATGAGATCCTTGTGAGACTGAACTGATTTAGGATGCGTTTTCAGGATTTTGGACATAGCTAACAGTCCCAGGTATTTCACTGTGAAAGACAAAATAAAACTTCTTTCCAAATATAGAAACACTGTTTCATGTTGCGCATGCAGTCTTAATTCCGAGTGCTTCTATGAAACCAACTTTAATACACTCAAAAATCTTTGATGAGAAACAGAATTTTTGAGAAACAGTACATCACAGATTAATGTCTTTCATTCCATAATCTCACATACAGGCACACAATTACATATATATTCTCATTATAGTCTTCTTGCACCTCAGGTTTTATCACTGATTTGTATAGAAACTACAGGTTTTGAGAATGGGCATCCTAGGAGGAACACAGCTTTAAAAACACTAACAGGACTGGTGTATTAGGTAGGAGCCTTGTTCTCAATGGGAAAAATTCGTAAGGCAGGAAGAAAGCCTGCAGTCACTAAAGAATGTTACACTGCAGAACACCCTTCACTTCTTTCCAAGCAGCAAATTTATAAAAAGGGAAAAACCAGAGCATGGAAGGAGAACTGTTTTAGATTTAGAAAACAAACAGCAGTAATAATTAATCCCATTTGTTTTAAAAAAAAGCTCATTATAAAGAAGTGCTCACTATCAAAAATGATTTCCACATTAAAAAACGCAGTAATTGTTTACAACATACCAGGCACTACAATACCGAACAAGCTGCTTGGAGAAACAGCTCATTGCTCTAAGACTGCTGCAATCTCTCCCCAGTGGTTGGTTGCTAAAAGCTGCCACGAAGACAAGCAACGTACTTACAGTTCTGGTCAGAATCTTCTATCAATATCCTTAATTTCTGAACACAAAGCTGGAAAAAAGACCACACCATGCTTATTACAAGCCTTAAAAATCTTAATTAAAATAACTCGTTATAAAGTTTACACAAGGAAGCATCCTGACCAAGACCCGGGGCCTCTAGGTAAGAGGGTCCTGTTGCATTAACAGATTTCCAAACAAAAGGATCCTCTGTGTGACTGTATTGATAGCAGCAGCTGAATAAGAATTAGGAAAATTCTAAATGAAAAGATTCTGTGTTTTAGAGCAAAGAAAATAAGAGAACTTATATAGGAAAGGCTTTGGCCTGTAGGATTCTCCCTGAGCGAGAGCGCTTCAGGGAGCTATCGCTTTAGCTTTTGGTAGAGGAACACAACCCAGTTTCTCCACAGCACTTGGTATTACACGGTAGAGCAGAACAAATAACCCCCACCAAAACCCATTGTACCTGGATGCTCGCGCTGTGATTCGGCATCCCAGAGGACAGGGAGATCAAAACTGAAACACACAAGCACAAATCTTATTCAACATGTTTCTGTGTTGTGAAGGAACGCAACAACACAACACCTGCAGGCCAGCCGCTAGTTCAGCTCACACAAAGATGCCAGTTTGTGTGGTTGGTTGTCTGTCTGCTTGGACTTTGGGGGGGCACGGGCAGGGGCAGGTGGGAGAAGGTGGTTACACATACTGTAGCTTCATACACCTTACGACTAACAACAGCACCGCAAGAAAACAGGCTGCAAAGGTAGGAACTGTTGGAACAGCCAGGCCAAGGCAGCTTTTCATTACGCTTTGCTCTCATGAAGGTTGGCTTTACTGATATTGCGTAGCAGCAAGACTGCAAATATGTCATCAGCTACCGTACTCATCAATTTTTAAGTGTGCCCTTCCCTAATGTAACGGGATGCAGCAATGGATCCTAGAGTTTAATGTAATTAGATTGGAGCTTTAATCAAGCCAGAGACTTGAGGCAAAAATCAGGTCCCATTGTTGTCTATATTGGACGTTTGTAAGGCTCTGGCAGCACGCAGCCCCACAGCAGCAAAGGTGGGGTTATCTTGTTAACTGCTGCTGTCACACAGCATGTCCACGCCAACACCACCTCTTACCGAGCAAGTCACACATAGCTAATAAGTATAGAAGCATCTTGCTCTCCATAACCCTGCAGAGCCACATTTCCAAGAAGGTGTGGTAGATGCTACCCTTCTGGGTCATGCAAAGAGTTGCAGGTGCAAGGTGCTGCTCTAGCACGGGCACGCAGCTTCACATCTCATTTTCTGAATTTGAGTTTCACGTTACAGCCCCTGAGGTGTTCTGGGTGTATGGATTTCCCTTTGACCCACAAAATTATCCTACTGTATCCCAGGGAAGCAGACAACGGAATTAACCTCCATGTTATTTTTCCCACCATCATAACATCATCTCACATTTCCCTGAAGGAATGAACGAACACGAAGTGAGAGTGACAGATCACCCTCTCCTCTTTGAACGGACTGTGTACAAGTTCCTGCATCATTATCCAAACTACCCAAAAGAGACAGACTTCTGGCCAAACTGGATGTCAGTAACCCTCTGCTTCCACACTGTGACAGGAAAAGTGCCAAGTCTGAGCTGGAACACTGTGTTATCCCTTCCTGCCTAGCTTCTCTCTCCATCCCTGTTACGGAGTTCACATCCCTTCCCCCGAAACTGAAACTGTAAAGCCATGATTCCAACGACCTCCTTTTAAGGAATTACACCAAATTTTCAAGCTGTGAAACTGCAGAATTAAAAAACAAGTCTGCCCCTTCATCACACAAGAAAATCTTGTCAAAGTTTCCACGAGGCTTCAGTCTTTTTTTAATTCTATTGCTGCTGGTATATTTTGTAGTTCTAGCAACATTCAGTAGCTTGCACCTAAATAACCACTCCCTGTTGGTACTTCGTTTCAGCCTTTAGCAAACACGACATAGCTGTAGTAACTTCGCATCATCAACTGACAACAAAGGGTTTCAGTTACAGTTACACAGTAAGACAAATCAAAGTCTGCCAGGCGACATTTCAGTTATAAAATATACACAGCTAAAAAGAGGTTTACAGATGGTGTTAATTGATGACAAAGTTAATCATGTTTTTTTTTGTAGGTTACAAATTTCAGTTCTCACCTGCTATTACTGTGTTCACACATTCATATAAGAGAGACATGGCTGAGGTGCTGAAACAGAAATCAAGTATTTTAAATAAGGAATAAACCCAGTGCATTCTGAAGAGTTGTCAGCAATATCTTGGGAGCTAGTTAACACCTTTGATTACACAAGAAATTGCCAGTATTCTGTTCCATGTACCTTCAAACTAGATGAAACGATTCTCACCTAAAAACTCTTGGGGGGAGAAAGGGCATGTTTAGGGGGAAAAAAATCATCTTGGAGAAGCAGTATGTAACAGCACTGTAACACAAGGCATGAGGAAAGGAGTGGTTACTCAAAATCTCAGCACCAGTTATAGAGCACTGAAGCAATCTTGTCCAAGGATCAAATCAAATCCTCTGCCCAAGGTCAAAACTTCACGATAAGGCAGGCAGACGGAGAACCTGCAGTCTCTCTCTCCAAAGCGAATGAGTCCTGCACAAACAGCAGACTTCTGGCTTGCAGGTAGACACTTGCTCAACCCTATAAGCCAGCAACCCATTTTCAATGTCTGATTTCCCCCAAAACTTCAATTCAAGACACCTTTTGCCAGCTGAACACACACACAGTGCAATTCTGAGGGTTTCAAAGGTACTTACAAATCCTGATCTACACAAGAGGGAAACACAGCCAACCTCACAAGTAACAAAGGAGCAGTCTCCAGCAACAAAGTCTGCAAAGGTGATGAGCAAACAACTCTGGAGGCAGCAGTCGGCACGACACCGTGAAGGTCACTCACCACACCGTATGCATCACTCTAGTACGCTCAGAACCAAGACGACAATTTTCACTCCCTAACCATTTCGTGGTGGATGACAGGGTGGTTTGCCTCATGCGTGATACGAGATCCCAAATGACTGAATGGAGAGCAAACTTAACAGGATTAAGGCCTCACAAATAATTAAATGAATGACTAATCTGGGAGTTGAAGAGAGGCGTTCGAGGCAGACTGAAGACATACTGTCCATCTTTCTGCTTTTTCTGTCAAAGTACTGTTTCTGGTGAATCTGTATGTCACTGCTGCAAAAACCCTCTTTAGATATTTCGACGCAAGGCTGCTGGCTGGTCTGCTCTGATCCAGACTTAAAGGTAGACTAGGAAATTGTCTGGCTAGAGCTGCTCTCATGGCGACATGGATATCCGTTTAAAATTTGCTCATTCCCATCTATCTTCTCGTCCTGCCACACGAAGAGAAACAAGGCTTTTAATTTAACAACTCATGCACAGATCACACTTCCTTTTTGTAACCGGGAAAATACAGGTATTCCCTCCAAGATATCTACTTTCTGATTTCAGTTTAGAATTAGATCCAAAATAACACTACAAACCAGCTTTAACAAGGGACAAGGGAATGTGTTCCTGTTTATCTAATCCATATTTAGGACATACATATTAGAGGAACTTCTTCCAAAACACATCTGGGATGACAAAGGCACGAGAAACAACTTTAATACACTCCCTGTCACACTGCTTTGGTGGGTAAGGCACTTCCAAAAAAGTCAAGAACCATACGTGTGTTGGTGAACAGAAGAGGCAAATATACAGCTGAGCCTTTTTAAAGTCAGTTTTTATATATTCTCCATAGTCATCTCTGGCTTCAAACCATTTGAAAGGAAAGGAAACTGCTCCAATTTTCACACATGCTTTGCAGAAATTCATGCTGACAGTCAGACACCCAAAGACTTCTCCCCTTTAAGGTGTTTTATCTCACTCAGGTTTTTCAGAAACAGTCCTGATGTGATTATCTTTTGACACCTGAAGCCAATATATCAAGACTCAAGAAAAAGCTCAGAAATGCATTTGCACACCTAGCTACTGACCTACCTAACAGGCACTTCACCAATCCTGAGTCAACAAAGTCCCATTTTCTATACATACCTATGGATGAGGTTGGTCAGAGGCTCAATCAATTTTTTTCCCAGCCTAGGTTCTAATGGAGTAAGAGCACCAAACTATTAAAAGAGAAGTGCAGACAAGGCAGTAATTTAACAGCTGCTTTTAAACAGTATAAAAATAATGATGTAAATTGCCGTTCATTATATTTAATCCAAGCTACATTAAAATATTTTTCTCTCTTTGGTTATGTTCACAAACATTAGAAGATATTCCTGGTTTCTTTTTATTTGGATTTAATGGTAACTATACGTCCAAGCAAGCAATGTATTGTCCCACCCAAGGTAATTTAATGAGAACCCCAATCCTGTAAACATAGATCAAGAATACTTGCCAGTTTAATAATTTTAATGAGAACCCAATTATTAGTTGACGAAGTCATCAACTTGAAAAAGAGTGGAGCAAGGGAAAGGTAGTTTTTGGGATTGCGTCGAGCCAGCTCACAAATCACATTTACTGCAGCAGACTGCACACCTGGGAAAAACAAGTGGGAAAAGCAGAAATCTCATCAACGCCCTAATTGTAATTGAAGTTCTAGTGCGGAACCCCCAGAACAAAAGCAGCTGAAGATTCAGACTTGTGTGTCCAAGAGGAATTGTTCAGTCTCATTACCAACCATGAGGTAGCGAACTGAACATAAGAATGCAAAAACAAACCAAGGAAGGATTTTATTAAATTTTTACTATTTTCTAATGCATCAGCAAGCTGGGTATTGCTTTGGATCCAGTATTAGAATGAAGAGGACAACGCCAGCCTCCTTCATCCTTTACGGTGGATAGCTTCTTTGTGGGACACTGATGACATAATAATCAATAATCCCACCCACCATAAAGCTTCCAAACACTCTTGCTTCTTTAAAATGTATTATTTTTCCATGTTTAAGTACAACACAAAAATAATGAATCTTTAATCAATCTGACTGGACTACTTCATTCCCTTCTAATCGCTTAGCCTCTAAATTGCCTGTTCTCTGTTTGGAATCTTTTAATCTAGATAGTCTGGGTTTTCCAGTAGAGAGCAGTCCTTCTCTCCATAAAGCATAATAGCTATTTTCTTCCTCTGTTTGCAGGTGAGGGGAATGTGTGTTTTGCTTTCTTTAAAAACACTGTCCCTGGAAGATGCCTCCTACATGCCCACACTAGATTAATCCAGTACATGAAATTAAATTTCTAACTCTAAACACACAAACACACACAAATCAACTGGAGATCACAGATCTGCACTGCACACAAAATTCTTGAAACAATTGTACAGTGTTTTGGTGCAGTGGTGGAAGACCAGCACATGCCAGGAAGACTGAGAGGTACGAATACAATACAGAGCAATTGCATTTTTCCTGTGCTGCAGCTGAATTGCACTCATACAGTACTGAAAGGGCCCAAGCAGCAGTCTGGATTTAAAGCCTGAATTTAAAAAAATAGAAGAAAAATATACTAAGTGATGTGAAATAATATTTTAAGTACATCCATTGCAAACCAACAGCTGCAGCTTTGTAAAAGATTACAGGAAACAACAAAAAACCACCAAAACCTGAAATCAAATGAAATATTTTCAATAGCCAAGTTAAGTAAGCAACAAACCAGGAATCACTGAGTAGCTTTGATCCATTAAAGTTTAATACACTGATATAATTTCAGTAGCTTTGGGTTTGAAGTAAGAATTGGACATTTTAGAGAATATATTTTTAATCTAGTAACATCTGTCAAAACTCTCAGATGCTCACCTGCCTATTAAACAGGTGAAGCAGTACTCAAAAGATGATTACAGCGTTTTTCATGTCTTCCTCTCTCCACCAGCTCTAAAAGCATGTACACCTCTATGTTTTGAAGCAGAAGTAATTTGCTAAAATCCACTCACCAGGATCTGGATCTTCAAGTTTCTCTTTAAGGCGAGGAAATGCGGGACGGAGGGACTCTGGGTATTTCAAAAAAACTTTGTACATAATTAACACTGCCTTCTTCCTGATATAAGGCTTTGTATGAGACATCTGTGAATGAAACAGTTGCAATCAGGCTCTTAGCAAATCCGTGTTTCCAGAGTTCTTCTCAAGGTCCTTATGTCCACACCACTGCCTCAAAATTTCTTTCTGGGAGACTCAACTACTTTTCAAAAACTCAGCTTTGAGGAGAGCGCAGAATACTGTCATCTATCACCAAAACTAACAGAAATACTCAAGGTAATCCTCTTCAGCTAACTAAGGTCTGTACAGGCTCCCCCAAAAACCCCGAAGAACAAAGCGTCAGTTTTCACAGGCAGCAGTTCTACATTTAGCAGTTATTTACCAGATTTGAACAATTTAACACTCGTTAATCACAGGAAAAAGTTCTTTCAGTCTCCTCAACTCACCAGCGTCATGATGTCATTTGCCAAGTCCCTGGCAAGATCTGGAGTAACAAAACAGGACAAGCCAGTCAGTGCAACTCCCGTATCATATTGGTTAGGGCTACTCAGATCCTAAAAAAGGAAAAACAGGCTCAAAACTTTAAGATCACACAGGATGTTGAGAAACAATTTTCTCAGACCAATTTTATTCCCCCAATACATAGCTAGCACGGGGTTTAATACTCGGCATGAGAAATCATAATTGCAATAGATGGCTAACTGCAACATGAAAGCAATTGGAGATATTGTACCTTGGTGGTATTTTAGGAATGGCAAGTAATTTTTTCAAAACTCTTGACATGATCACAAACATGTTTAAAGTCCTGAATAACTGGTATTAAATACTAACCCTGCCAAGCCAAAGCCTAATTGTCATCAACTTGACTGGGAACAGGCACTCTCGTCGAGTGCTTAACCGTGTCCTAGCCTAAGCTCCCTATTAGAGAAATGAGGTCGCTTTCCTTCCAAGCTGCTGGCAGCACCCTAACTTTCAGTTCGCAAAGACACAACACAAGCTAGGGTGCAGAATACATTTTACTGGTCAAGTTTCCTTGGACTTGTTAGTGTCAGTATCCTACACTGTACTACGTAGTCTTTCAGGTTTTTCTAAGCTTCAGACTCTTAACAATATTAATATTTGTATCTGAGCATGTTCAAGTATAGATTATAAAATCAGAGCATCACAGGATCACTCCTTAGCTGCAGTTATTAGGAAACAAAAATACGAAGTGAATTGTGCAGAGGATTCCCACATGGACTAGTAGAATTAACTCTCCAGATTCACGTGTACGGGGAGGCTGCTAAACATAGGCAGGCCTTCAGGGTTCTGTGCCATTTGCATTTCATTTTAAAACCTTGTGCAGGTGGCAGGAAATTAGACTCTACTTTAAGAATATTGAAATCTGCTTCTTAAGGAGCAGCAAAACTGCAATTCATTCTGGCTTTAACATATTTTGAGAACCGATAACCCCTTAAAATACAAAGCTGCTGTATCAGTGAAACATGAAGCAGCATAAATAAAGATGCTTTTAAGTAAAAACTCAGGCACAAAAAGGAAGGAGTCACCCAGCAAGCAAATGAAATTCAGTGTAATGAAGTCTCCAGAACAAAGAAAATGGATGGACGTTATGAAGAATATGCACTTGTCAGAGCAGAATAGTTTAAAACAAAGGGAAAAGCACTTGTTCTTTAGGAAAGATATTGGATTTAAAAAAAAAATCAGTGGGATGTTAAGTAAAAGACATTTTAGCTACTTAGGTGGTAAAAGTGTAGGCACATCTTGTACTGGATCAGTCACGTTTTAAAGCAGTGATACTTCAAAACCTTAAAACTTAAGAGCTTTAACAATGTATCTGTATTCTGAGGAACAGGAAGATAATGCTGCATCCCAATAACTGCTAAAAAATTCAAGCAATAAAGCTCTGAAAATGAGTACAACACACTTCCGTACATTAATGCAGAACATAGTTTTACATGCACTCTTCATCATTTTTACACACAATTCTACCAAAAAAGTAAAAAACCTGATCTGTTATTACCAGAAGAAAACAGGCCCTCACAAACACACATTTTGTGGAGCGAGGTGACTGCGCATTTTACTTCAGGAACGGGGCCATTTTTCTTGCCCGCTGCATTCTCACAAGGGCTGCCTAAGAGACTAGCAGTATTAACAAAGGTGACTGCTGTGACCCTTCCCTGGGGTGAATAAACACAAAGAGCTGGTGTAAGACAGCATAAGGGAAGCCTAGGGACAGCTTCTAAGTATTTCACTAATCCTTCAGCTTGTGGAATGAGAGTAGGCTGTAAACCAGGTAAATATAATTCTACTTAAACATCTTCATATGCCTAAAAGAGAAATACTTCGTACAGATTTGAAAATACAAGTAGGGAGAAATACAAGTGAAAGAAAAAATAAAGAACCAAAGTAAAAAGTTTACCTTTCGGATCTGATTAGTAGTCAACATAATTACATCAGTCCCTTCATGAAAGCACTGAGAGGCAGCTAGGTAACCGATTCTCTGCAAAAGGGCAAGGAGAAAAAAAAAATAAATTTAGACAATGTTTAGATGAACATCAACTGGTTGCTTCATAAGCAACACTAAAAAGATGAACAATTAGGCATAACAGAAGAGGCATGATACAGTTCTCTATTCTTGCTTCATATAGACCCCCTTTTCTAATCTCAGACAAGTAACATCTCTAGTGCCAAAACATCTGTCTTAAGGATAACAAAACCAGCTTCGCCTTCTCTACTTTGTTAGAGCATACAGGTTCAATGACCACAAAGATGGAGAAATAAGGTAGCATTGTCAGTGGAAGCCATGGAGAATATTACATTTATTTTGTCTGTGTTGACTCCTGACTTTCAGCTACTAAAGCCCAGTTTGGACACTATTCCTTAAGCAGTAACATTCCACACTGTTTGGTGAAAAAGGTCGGCAACAGAGCATAAACAGAACTTTTCAAGAAAAGTTATAAAACTATTACAAAATAGAATATATCTGCTACTAGGAATCTTAGGTGCTCTTCACCTAAAAATAACCTGTTTTTTCACAAATGTATATCCGTCAAATATCTGGTAGAAAAAGTCTATACTAGCAGGCCAAGTATTCTGCATCTACTGGAAACAAATACAGTCTCCTTCCTTTCCGTATTGAAGAAAGCAAACCAAAAAAACCACTAAGTACAGCAAGGAAAGAGCCTGGCTAGCAGAGTTGCAGTGATACAGAGAACTCACTTTGAATGTAAACTTTGATGCACTCATGACTTCAATAATATTGAAAGCAGCCCAACTGATGTCGTAGCCCAGCATCTGTAACTGTGAGCAGAGAAGCCAAGATAATAAACTTCTGAAATAAGAGACTCAAGAAAATAGGTCAGGATACTTCACAAAATTGACGATATAACAAGAGTCCAAAAATAACACTCTAAGACATCTCAAATTCAGGAGTAATGTTAAATTCCATGCCACTTGCAGTAAGTGAAAGAAGTCTCAAAGTCCCACCAGAAGCAAGTTTTAAATAGTCTGCATTAATTACAGGTAATGTATAAGCAGTTATATAAGTATCGTTGTGAAGAGTTTTTTACTTTGTTATTTTTTTTAAATAAAAACCAGAACAGGACCACAAAAACAATTCTTTAACAGTATTTCCCCCCCTTCTTCTTGACAAAGGACTGCGCAAAGAGAAACAAACACCAGTTTCAAGTGCTCATGCAACTATGTGATAAGAAACAATCCAGTTGAAAACTACTTTTAAAAATTGTATTAGTTTTACATCAGATTAGCTTCCTGACCTATCTCAGTAAAATGAAATTGTCCCAATATGAGTGCCAGTGCAATGAACAGAATGGGATACGCAGGCTCTGATGGCGGACATGTGGGAGCATTTTCACTTGCAGCCTGCACTGACACCAGTGTAAGAAGCTGCAGTCCAACAGAAGCAGACACTCAGACCAAAGACTAGCTCCTAGGCAGCAAGAAAGGAAAAAAATACAGCTGTGATTACAGGCTACCCCAGCAAGGCACTTACATAGGTGAGTTTGCAGACTGCATTTGCTTTCACAGCAATGTTATCCTGCTTTAGCTCCTGCTTGATCTCATCGATGCACTGGGAGATGTATTTTGCCTGAGGAAAACAAACAAAAATTTGTATTCATTTACCAGTTTTGCAGATTTCCAGCATATTAGTGGGGAGAAGTAGCAGAGCTCCTCATTCGCAAGCACCAAATCCCAAACACACGCTATTCAGGTAACCACTTCATTCTGACAAAACTACTTATTAACAAGAAACGTCACAACTGTATTACAAAAGCTAGAGAGAGTTCTTCAGTTGTTTCCCTTCTCCCTCTCCCTCACAATTACGCTGGTCAGTCCAGAGCTCCAGTTTCAAAGATTTGTGGAAAAAAAAGGTGTTCCATGGAGACTGTGTACCTAGGGGTCTGAATAAAACTGGAGTTCCACCGTTCCTAGAACATCCACTACTGACCTCAGCAGGA